ACAACAGCAACTAAATAATAAATAATATTGACCTACCGGTGTTCTCAGAGATTGACATCCCGATTAATGAATACGACTTCCCTTTCCTTGTTACAGGTACATTACATCTACCCAGAAGAACTGTAATAATACTAGTGACTTCACGTCTAACTTCGTTTTCCAGCTAACCAGACGTGCAGACAACTCAGTTTGTGTGGAGGATTAAAACAAGTTAAACGACAAGATCCGAAGGGCAATTCAAAGCTTACTCTCTGCTGCTTCCAGACAACCTGATCTATCACTTTTCAAAGACTGATGTCAGACGTCAGCAAGACCACGCTTTCCCTTGAACCTGTTCTTGTGAAGACCTACCGGTTTGGCAGACAAGTTTCTAGTGGGCTTTCAGTACTTGTAGTTGTCTGTTGTATCATTGCGTGTTGTTGACAAGGTGGTACATTAGTCATTGCCTAAATTAGATATCAGCAGCATCGCCACTGGGTGTGAGTTCGATTCACATCATCATCACCGTGTTCCCTGCCGATAATGTCGGCCTATCTCGAGATTTCAAACGATCACCAGAATTATTCATCAGTCCAGTGCTCTTGTCTTGTCCCATTTATATGGCCAAACCATCCATGCATGTTGGTGTTACATCAGTGGCAGGAACTTCCCTTCCCCCCCCCCCTCGTAAAATAAGAACAGCTGAAGAGCACGAAATCCGTTTATATCGACTTTACATAATTGCAGGCGACAGTTGGAGAACCATTGTGGTTCGTCCATCACGAGTGATGAAGACCACTTTCATCCAAAGTAGTAATGATCAATGATTATGAGTACGAAGGTGGCTGGATTAGTCCAGTATGAGCCTATAAAGTTCTTGAGCAGTGCTGACCACAGGTGGACGCCGCAGTAATTGTAGGATTAGCGATACGGTTCTTTCTAGTCTGCCTCCTGTTTCTCTGCCTGTGCAACCTCCGCTGCCTAGCAGGCTGATGCACCATGCCAAAAGAATTGAGAGCAGTCTTGAGAATGTCCATATAGCGTCTTTTCTGTCCTCCCTGAGACCTCTTCACTTGCTGGAACTGAAAAATACTCTTTTTGGGAAGCGATAGTCTGCCATGTGGATTATGTGACCTGCCCTAACGCAGCTGATAATTCTTCAGTATCGTGTGGATGCTAGGCACGTTTGCCCATCAAGAGAACCATTAAAGATATGGAACGAAAGTGTAATGCATTCAAAATTAAATAGCTGAGAAAAATGATGAACAATGGAGTTAAATAGGGGGGGGGGGGGGGGGAGAGAGAGAGATGAGAAGACATGTTTGAGATAGAGAGAGGAGAGAGAGAGAGAAACCGAGAAGAGAGAGATGAGATGAGAAACATGTTTGTATAACCACTGGTATCAAAAGTTATAAAACCGAGAAGATGGTGCTAGACTGGACACATTTTGAGAAGAAAAAAAAAAACTAACAGACAATCACCAAACAGGCACTGAAATGCGGCATAGATGGATTCAGGAATAGTTGTAGTAGTAGTACTTTTACCCCACCAGGACATCACACAAGCGACAAACATCCATATTATTGGCCGGGCTATATTGCGGCCCCTGGCAAGAGCCAGAGTAGGGCTTTACAATAACGAAAAATTGCATCCCAAACAGGGATAATAAGATATCACCCACTTTTGGAATGAAGAATCTCTCTTCTTTTATCCCACCATCACATCACAGAAGCGATTAACACCAAGTGACACATGCTGATGAGTATCACCCGTGGAGAGGTCCCAGAAACCCCTTTCAGTCGTTAGGCCATATCTATGGCTAGGCCATATATTCCGGCTATATTCGGGGCCCCGGGCAGAAGCCAGGGTATGGCTTAAAATAACGAAAAATTGCATCTCACATGGGGATGACTGATAATTCGTATCGTAACTTTAACTTGACTTTTATACAAAATGCTAACACTATAAAACATAAACTTCCGGAAACGAAATCTGTGAGGTGCTGGGTCCTGAAGGAGAATTTGGTGAAACATTGAGAGATTTAATTGTCGCCTCTTGTATTTATTCAAGGTATTTGTTGCCTCTACCCCAAATGCATGAAACATTATTGATTATTAGAATTATAAATAATGACTTTTTTAGTGTGCAGTCATATCAAATCATTATGTCTTGATACTGGTGCTTACTTTTCGCTAGGTTAAAGTTGCGAATCCTACAGCTACACTCAAACGCTGCAGAACATGAGACTGAGACTAGGAACCAACCCCAGCAATTTTTGGCTATTATTGACAATTATAATTGTGTTTTTCTTGGCAGATTTACGTCTAGTAGTTTGTCATTGCTTTCAGGGCAGTAAGCTTCTCGATACCACTGTCGAAACCAATGCAGAGTTATCGCTAGGAGAAGAAAGAATTGTCTTTATTGTCTCCACTCGTGTAATTTAGCTACTTCAGTGAAATGTTAAAATGCCCTCTACACCAATAAAACCAGCACAGTTAGATAGCTGTAAACAATCTCTTTCCAATGGTACCTCATTTAGGCTTGTATGTCATTTCTGAGCTGAGATATGTAGGTTTTTGTGGAGATGAGATGTAAGAAACAGCCGCTAAAACTTGTGACCCAGAAACAAGAAGTTTTTCTCTGCACAACCTACTGCGCAGTTCTGTATCGGCTTTGTTGACTTTGGACTGTCATTAGACAAGATGGCAGGCAATGAGACTCAGCCGCATGCGATTGCCTAAAAAATGTCAATGTAAATCTAAACAGCCAAAAACAGGAAAGAAATTTTATATACAAATGTAAAATTGGACGGAGAATTCATTTATAACTAGCATTACCACATCTGGTAATGTTTAAGGCTCAAACCAACCTCGAATTTACCGCTATTTTCAATTAAACTGATAGACTAACAGAAAAACAGAGGATGTCCGGCTGTCATAGACATGCGCTGTTAATCGAGTTCCTTCCCGCCGTTTTCAGCTATTTAGAGTGGGTGAAAATCACACCAATCTCAAAATTTCATGAGAGATTAGGACCCATCCCGAAACCCCAGCCGACATTTCCGAAACAAGTTTTAAACGGTTTCTATGGTAACGGAATTTGTCGAAAAGATCGCAAATTTCCGAAACTGTAGTGGCTAGTGTAAAAACACAATACACTAACTAATAGTAGTAATATACTAATACTGTAAATGTCAATCAATCATTGACTATAAATAAATGTCTCACCTGGAAAAGAAAGTAAAAATATACGCTAAGCAAAGGAACACTCAGGAACAGTCCACTCCACCTGTTATTTTAACTGCTGTGGGAATTTTTTTACTTTTTAAATATTCAGTGTTCATGTTTCAGTGTGACATGTCAGTGTATTAAATTAAGGGCTATCCTCCGAATAACAAGCACTAAAGATGGCGGCCGCAAAATATCCTTACGAGCCTCAGTCACGTTTCACTTAATTTGCGGTTTTCCGGCGACTACTGCCACCGTCAAGAGTCCCCTCACGAGCAAAGCTGCAGGAGATGCGGAAGCTGCTGCTCGTGTGTCCTAGCTATCTAGTTTAGCCCCAATCCACACCGCGTGAGCGGCGTGGGAGACTCTTGACCGTGGCGGTAGTCACTGGAAAACCGCTAATTAAGTCGCTGGAAGTGGGCACTTGACACGTGACTGAGGCTCATAAGGATATTTTGCAGCCGCCATCTTTATTGCCTGTTTTTCGGAGGATAGCCAAATTAAGTATTATTGAACCAGCTACTGCTTTGTAAAGTTATAATTATAAGTTTTACTGGAATCTGAATTTACTGAAGATCTACTACTAGATTATTTGTGTTATCTTTCGATCACTGACTTACCCAGGTTCCTGTGTCATCACCACTCATATTAATTTTATTTTTAATTATTACTGGCAGATAGAAATTGATTAAATGGGTCAATTACTTGCCAGTTTGTGCTACAAAAAGTTAAACTTCACAGAAAATACTTTTAGGTGAGATATTAAAAAAATAAGATTTGGATTCCTGTTTAATGCATGTATGCCAGTGATTCACAAACTGTGCCGGGTAGCTCTGACGTCTTCACAGGGGCACCACGGAATATTCGAAGATACACAAGTTTTATTTTTTTTATCTCTATGCTATTGGTTTTTGCTGAGACTGAAGTCTCAGTTTTCACCTGGGACAGTGATGTACATTCATTATGTGGTTTTCATTAGCACAGGAACAGAGCAACTATGTGGTGATTCATTTGCTATGAATTCTCAAGAATTTTCTTTCTCATCTCAGTTTTTCAAGATTTATTGCATAGCTGATACAAATGGAAATTTAGTGAGTGGTGAAAGTGAATACCTCTCTTTCCCCGCTAACTTTCTACACTACCCCTATATAAACTGATAAATAAATCAGAGTAAAAGTAGTCTATATGTTTAGTGCTGCTGTATGTATGCTTGTGAATCGTAGACTGTATATTGACGCCATGCAAAGAAGCTCAACAACTTCTATGCAGTCTTAAAAAAAAAATTATTAAAATAAAGTGGAAGATAACAACTTTGTTATTGTTGTGTAGTTTGGTTCATGTTGAGAAAGGCCCTGGCTGAAACATCAGTTTGTGTTGTGTTGTTTCATGCACGTTGTTCTGCTTCCCCATTTCTTTAAGCCTTTCAGTCACAGTTCACTGGATTACTTTCTAGAGAATCTTGCTATAGCATTTGGGTTTGAAAGCCTCTATTTTGATATTAAGGACTATTGGGCTTTAAACTCTTTGAGTCCCAAGGAATGCATCATACGTTCATAGATTCCTACCTAGAAGCCCAATAAATGCAAGATGCGCAGATTTTACGTCTCTTTTGACTACCCCTTGAAACCTCCTAGGACTCAAAGAGTTAAGTCACCTACGTACTCACAGAACTCAACTACATAGATGAAAGAGAGAGCTGTTCTCATCATATGTGATGGACGAACAACATAGTATAATCTGTTGGGGAACCTTCTGGAGACTATTAGACTTTTTGTTTTCCATGTCCTCAGACTGATGGCTGCCACTGTGAGGATGGTAGGCAGCTGTGTCAGATGTCTTAGGGCGCCTTCACAATCACTGAAACAGCTGTGTGCTGCGAGCAATACTTGGAAACAACAGCAGCGTGTATGTCTTTGATGTTTAAGAAGTTACATGCAAATAAGGATGTGTGTTGAACTGTTTGAGATGTGTGTTGAACTGTTTGAGATGTGTGTTGAAGTGTTTAAGATGTGTGTTGGACTGTTTGTTTAAGATGTTTGTTGGGTTGTTTAGGGGTTTAAGTGGTTTTTTGTAAGGGCTGTTGTTGAGTTGTTTGCATCTTAATTGTTAACTGCTTTATTGGTTTTTTGTAAAACTATTCGCCTTATATTCTCAAGGTCGTGGATTGATGATTTAGAACTTACATGAAAACACAGATGTTTGTTGAGCTTTTTATTGTTTGTTAAGTTGTTTATCTGCTAAATTATTTTGCTTTTTGTTAATCAGTTTGCCTCATATTCTCAAGATTACCCATAGATGCTTTGTCTTCCACAGCAAATGTCTTAAGGTTTAGATGCCATCCCGTAGCACACTGTTTATACACGCATCGTTCTCTTTCTCACATACGTCCCTTCTTGCCCTGCTTCCTTGTTCACATATTAAGTTAGTTGCGTATCCATTACAAGATAATGCAGAACCGCCAGCATTTTTTGGCTGTTGTGGTTTTTCTAGGCAAATTTACCTCCAGTAGTTTTCTACTTCATTCTGGAGGTCACCTTCAGGATACCACTGTGGAAACAAACGCAAGGTGAAAAGCCTGCAGCTGGGATCAAACCCGTAGGGGCACTTTAGGATAGCTGCCGCATCGGAGGACAAAACATGCCATGTGTGCCGTGTTGTCTGTGTTGATGACAAACAAATTTTATTTCCCAAGAGTTATAAATTGTGCACACAGACACATCTTACATTCTGCCCTTCCAAGCATCCAGCTTTCAGGCTACCGTTGCATTTTATATATGGCATACTTCGTAGCCGCATGTACACAAAATCTAAAATCGACGAATCAACCATGTGCACATGTTGATTGGCACCAGAGACAACAGATCATGTCCTCCAAGACTGTCCCAAATACAACATATCAAGGCAAAAACTCTTGGCCAAGAGAAACATCGATGCAAGTCAAACTTTACGGCTCGCTGAGTGAATTACAAAAGACAGTGAAGCTCAAACTAGAGACAACATTGCAGATATAGATATTTTATTTCAAGTGAATAGAAGAAGAAGATATCAGGTATATTATGTTTATATGTCAAAATTCATTGTTTAAATGAGAATTAGAAATACAAAAGCATGGATGATAAATGCATATCTTCAAATAAACTCGCGAAAATACTGACACCTTGCAGACACATGCAAGCAGACACATACACAACATCCTTACACACACGGAGGTGTGGACATAGCTGAGACACACTGCATAAACAGGCATATACATAGTCACAGATAGAACACATACACACAGAACAAAAAACACACAGTCACCACATGTACACAAGTAAATTATCATGGATGATACCATTGTATTCATTTTTTTTATTCTTCTACCGTCGTTCTACAGAATCATACAGTCATAATGGAAAGGTGTTTCCAAGAACACATTTACACAGCACATACACACAGAACAAAAAACAGTCACTGTATGCATGGTGACATGACAAATAACCTATCATGGATGATACCTCTGTACTCATTATTTATTTTTCTATCGTCGTTCTACAGAATCATACAGTCATAATTGAAAGGTGTTTCCAAGAACACATACAGTCACCTCATGTGTGCATGATGACATGACAAGTAACTTATCATGGATGAAACCTCTGTATTCATTTTCTTCTTCTTCCGTCGTTCTACAGAATCATACAGTCATAATGGAAAGGTGTTTCCAAGAACACATACACACAAAACAAAAAACACAGTCCCCTCATGTATGCATGAGGACATGACAAGTAACTTATCATGGATGATACCTCTGTACTCATTTTTTAAATTTTTCTACCGTCGTTCTACAGAATCATACAGTCATAATGGAAAGGTGTTTCCAAGAACACATACACACAAAACAAAAAACACAGTCACCTCATGTATGCATGACGACATGACAAGTAACTTATCATGGATGATACCTCTGTACTCATTTTTTTAAATTTTTCTACCGTCATTCTACAGAATCATACAATCATAATGGAAAGGGTGTTTCCAATCCCACCAGGAAAAGATGGCGGACTTCCTCCGGAAAGTGAGATGAATGAACTACACAAGATTCTCCGACACGTGGAGATTGTGGCATATCCTAAAGAAATGTCTTGCATCCTCACTGATTTTGTAGAAGGTGAAGGGGAGGGAGATGCTTCTGTACATCAATTGAATAATTTGTGTTGTATTTTTTACATAGTGTGTGTTGTATTGTTTACATGATTTGTGTTGCATTGTTTACATGATTTGTATACAGTGTTTACACGATATGTGTTTGCATTGTTTACACAATTTGTATTGTATTGTTTACACAGTTCATGTTTGCATTGTTTGCACAATATCTATGTAGCATTGTTTACATGATTTGTGTTGCAGTGTTTACATGATTTATGTTGTACTGTTTACGTGATTTGGGTTACCATGCATGTCCTCAGCCTTGTTTCTTGTGGACTTTGTCTGCTGGAGATGTTTTTTTTGTCAGGGGAAAAATAAAAACATTAATCTGCGCAACTAAACTAGCATGCAGCCTCATATCCTCAGGCTAACAACCCCCCTATCCTGTTTACCAAGAGGTCAATTGTCTGTAGCTTAGGCATTGCGAATCACGCTTCATAATGTCGGGGTGCCGGGTTTGATCCCTGCTACAGGCGGTTTGTCTTGTGATGGTTTCGACCGTGGTACAGAGAAAGCCGACGGTCCAGAAAGCAATGGCAAACTGTTGGATGTAAATTTGCCTAGAAAAATCTCAACAGCCAGAAAGTGCTGGGGTTGGTTTTGCTCCTGTAAAGGATACGCAACTGAAGGAAATACAGGCATTTTTTTGTTTTTTTCAAACTTTGTTTTTCCTTTTATCCACAAATGAAGCACAGACCCTCAACAACTCATTCTGAACCGTCCTATTCTTTGCTATCTTCTGCAGCTCACTCTCTGTCCTTGTCTTGCCTCTGTCCCTAATTATCTTCTCAGTGTTTTTGTTGTTGTTGAGACTGATCACTTGTAGACTTGTCCCACTGTTGATTCTTCATTGTAATCATTATCATTTATTTTCTACAGGTTTGGGCATTAGAGGAGATATTGTCAAAGTGGACCGTGATGTCTTTCATTTGGAGCTGTTCCCTGCTGATTTGGCTGTGTATGCTTCGCCAGAAAACATCCAGGAGTTTGAGGAAGAAAGAAAGGTAGATTTGCTGTGTGTCTTCTTCTTCTTCGCATTCACCTGCTGTGAACACCAGCAAAAAGATCTGGTTGTTCATCCATTTCTGGAGTTTAGCAGTCTTGTTCTAGAAATTGCGTTTTGCGTGCACATCCCTTTGCACATATGGCCTATTTGTAAGCCTCTACTTGCCTTTTAGGCAGATACACTTTGACTTCGAAAGAAACACCACTAATTAGTCGACCTGAATGGCACGTGTATTAGAGGGCATTGAATTGTTTCTTTCTTCCCGCCACAATGAGGCTCCACAACCCATATAGGCAGCTGTTAATGTGTCGCTACCTGCTTTTTGACTGATTAGGAAAAGGATGGACAGAAAGGCAACTGCAAGAGATGCCCTCCCTGGCGCAACACTCATTCCCTGTCCTCACTATCAAAAAACTTTTCGGGCCCACATCGGCTTCATGGATCATCTTTGTATTCATACTTGATGAAAAAGAGTGGTCATCATCATCTTGATGGACAACACACACCTGCTTTTAGGACGTAGAATAGTACAGTATTGCTTGCATGTTACATCGTCATTTGTAAGCAACACTTTTATTTCATAATAGTTTGACATCCACTAATAATTATTGTTGACAATAGTGATACTACGACCTTATAACCGTGGGCAAAAAAAAGACAATGAGGGAAAACCTAAAGGCAGAATGTGATCTTACACAGTCTGTTCGAATATGTCATGAGGAGTGTCAGAAGAAGCATCTCAGTGATACACTTGTGTTTGATAAGTTCACCAAAATATGTGCAGAAAAATTAAAGATGACTCCCAAAGAGGGGAAATTGTTTTATAGACATGGCAAAAAGAAATACAGCTAGATAATGAAAAAAAATTATCATCTTATATACCAGCAGGTTGTCAGTCTCTTAAAAGAAAAGAGGTTTGGTTTATTCAACGGAGCAGTATCATGGCACACAGGTGCAACTCATAGGGGCTCCGTTCTACGTCTAACTCAAGTCTGATTCTGAAGATTCTCAGTGCAAAGCACGAACTCCGCTGCACCGGCGAGGGTCCTAAAATACTTTGGGTAGATTTTTAACTCAAACTTTTTGCCTGGACAGCACCGTTAGGCTACTCTTTTTCAATTTCCAACTGCCAAGGTTTTTTTTTTACGTGTACAACAATACACACGGGCGTCTGATCTTACTACTTAGAGACCAGGGGAATTACTAGAAGTCCACCTAAAAAAATACCAGCCTTCATCGGGGTTTAAACCCGGGACTCTAGCCCTCAAGGTGGATGCCATACCTCGAGACAACTCAGCCCCCTACTAAAAAAAAAAAGAGGAAAAGGATGAAAGATGCCAAGACACTAAAAAGACCAGGTTTCTGTGCTGAAGATTGCCCAAATGTCGGCGCTGCTAAAATAGATCTAGGCGTTGTTGATGTGGTTAGCTGGGCAAGAAATAGAAAGTGTACCCCAACAAATACAGTTTAAACAGTTGGCTCTTGAAAGGGACATGGCATCCTGTTGTTTTTAGAGTGGTTGGTAGAGCTAGTTGTTCCTAAGGCATCCTGTTGTTTTTAGAGTGGTTGGTAGAGCTAGTTGTTCCTAAGGCATCCTGTTGTTTTTAGAGTGGTTGGTAGAGCTAGTTGTTCCTAAGGCATCCTGTTGTTTTTAGAGTGGTTGGTAGAGCTAGTTGTTCCTTAGGCATCCTGTTGTTTTTAGAGTGGTTGGTAGAGCTAGTTGTTCCTTAGGCATCCTGTTGTTTTTAGAGTGGTTGGTAGAGCAAGTTGTTCCTTAGGCATCCTGATGTTTTTAGAGTGGTTGGTAGAGCTAGTTGTTCCTTAGGCATCATGTTGTTTTTAGAGTGGTTGGTAGAGCTAGTTGTTCCTTAGGCATCCTGTTGTTTTTAGAGTGGTTGGTAGAGCTAGTTGTTCCTTAGGCATCCTGTTGTTTTTAGAGTGGTTGGTAGAGCAAGTTGTTCCTTAGGCATCCTGATGTGTTTTTAGAGTGGTTGGTAGAGCTGGTTCCTTAGAGCTAGTTGGTAGAGCTAGTTCCTTAGGCATCCTGTTGTTTTCTGAGTGGTTGGTAGAGCTAGTTCCTTAGGCATCCTGATGTTTTTAGAGTGGTTGGTAGAGCTAGTTGTTCCTTAGGCATCCTGTTGTTTTTAGAGTGGTTGGTAGAGCTAGTTGTTCCTTAGGCATCCTGATGTTTTTAGAGTGGTTGGTAGAGCTAGTTTTTCCTTAGGCATCCTGTTGTTTTTAGAGTGGTTGGTAGAGCTAGTTGTTCCTTAGGCATCTCCAGGAAATGCCAGAGTAGACGACGTTGATGATCATGATAATGAAGTGGTTGATGATGATGATTTGGTTGACGATGACTAAACCACATGATGCCATGATTGCAGATGTAAAATTTATGTTTGTTTTGCAATGGTCACATCCTACAGCTCGTTCTAAAATAAAACATTTTTTTGATTGTTTAAGTCATTCTCCCTGAGAAACCACAAAATCAACACTTCTGGTGGTTACCATTCCCCCCAAAAGCCACTTTCCTGACTTGCTATAGAGACATGTTTATGAGATGTCTAGCTACAGAGTTAATTGCATCTGCGTCTGCAGTGTGGCTGTGGATGACTAATTGACAAAAAATATATTGTGGGAGGAGGGGGGTCTTTAAAAAAAGACTTTATTTATAGCAATTCCTACATCATATTTGTCCACTTTATTTATAGCAATTCCTACATCATATTTGTCCCTTTAGTTACCGGGTGACCAGATCACAGGGTCATGTAATGGTTACACTGTAAGTAGTTTGCAGGCCCCAAAGAGATGGTAGTTCTTGCTGCATTTGTCCTACAAATGACCTGCATTACAAAAATAGGATTTTTTTTCTCTCAGGAATTCCCCCGGTTTATTTTGCCTTTTTATGGTGGTTTCTAGTGGTGCAGGGTCGGCTCTGGCTGTCAATGCGAACGCTTCGGATTGCCGGGATGCCAGGTTCAATCCCAGCTGCAGGCCATGAGCCTTGCGCTGGTTTCGACAGTGGTATCAAGTAAGCCAACCGTCCAGAAAGCAATGGCAAACTACTGGACGTAAATTTGCCTAGAAAAACCACACAACAGCCAGGGGCTGCTGGGGTTAGTTCTGCAGCGTCCTGTAAAGGATACGCAACTAACCTAGTGGTGCAGGAGCTCAGTGGTGTAGATCAGAATTGAAGGACAAACAGTTGTAGATATATTAAAGGAAAGTTGTTAGAGTATTGTAATTAGCAATTCTGTTTTGTAAAATATTCCCAGGTATTCAGTTTCCTACTGATCAGGGAATCCAGCATGCACATTCTCAACACTAATTTTTGTTGTTGCTTTTATCTAGTAGGAGCTGTTTGGTTTACGGACTATGACTTTTTTCTTGAATATTTATACATGTATTGGTTAAACTGCGTATATTTCATAGAGCTAAATATTTATTCAACAGGCCAAAGGCATTGAGAAGGCTGAAAGCAGATTGGGAGTATTTGCTCGAATGGTGAGTATGCTGTTGTGTTTGCAGGTTTTGGGATCTTTATTAAAGTTAAAAAGGCTGCATTTGATAGGATCGACTTAATTGCACCGGGTTTTATCCAATTTGTCTCAGACTTTCTCAGCAGAACGGCTATGTGCCTGCCGAGAACGCCGCACAAAGCACGAAATCCGTAGCTCTAGCGACGATCCCCATGGATCTCCGTAAAATTGCACTCATGAACTGAACAGTTTGTATTATGTTGACGAAAAGAATCTGCTCAGTTTTTTAAAAGACTGCGGTTCTATTCACGTTTCCCTGCCATCTACACACTTTCTTAGTCTGGTCTAGGCCAGAGGGGTGTCACGTTGTACAGTTTTCTTCTAAAAGAGTCTCTCGTGGGAACTAGGGCTGTAGGTGCGGGGGGAGGGCTTATTCTAGATGTTCCTTGGTCTTTAAAAGCTGTGTTGTCGTGTAGTATTGAACATGCCACATTGGCGCTGATGTAATTTGAGGCAAGACAATGTGACACCCCTCTGACATAGAACGGTCTGAGAAAGCATAAATGAAAGGTCAGCCAGTGTGTAGATGAGCCCAAAAACGTGAATTGGACCAAGATTGCATATGTCAGTACATAAATAAATTCAGGAGTGAATTGGCAAGTAAATGAGTTAAAATTTATATAAGTTTTTCAAACTGTTCATGTTAGTGACACACTGTTTAGACAAGCATATTTTGACAACACAGTAATTCTGCTAGCAAACGAGAGGTTGAACCAACATATTACATTTTGCAGGTTGCAGTATTTTCTTCTTCAGCATTCCGAGTCCTTGAGTTTCAGTACTGCAGATATCATGAGCCTTCACTCATCTCTCTGGTTGGCCTTCACTTTCCAGTTGGTGACCCCATGTGTGTTTGCAGGTCTGTCTGGACATTATCTCTCCATCATCTTCTTGGTCTGCTTCATAGTCTACGACCATTCATGTCTTTTGCGTATAATTTTTACCTCTCTATAATTTGATATTCACTCAATATGCCCCAACCATTTCAGTCTATTAGCTCTCATGATGCCAGTGATCAATGGTTATTTAAACAGGTTATAAATTTCATTGTTGCTTCTGACTATTCATTCCCCGCTGTTTTGCATCTTTGATGGGTCCAAAGATTCGTCGTTAAGACTCTGCTATAGAAAATTTGTAATAAGGCTTCATCTCTTTTATTTGTGCTTTGTGCTCAAACTTTCAGAGCGATATAAAACAACTGGTCTTATCAACATTTTTTATATTTTGATCTTGGTGCTCAGCAGATGTTGAAGGGCATAGTGTACTTTACTTCCAGATTGTATTCTAGAATAACATTAACTTTGGTTCAGCAGATGTTGAAGGGCATAGTGTACTTTACTTCCAGATTGTATTCTAGAATAACATTAACTTTGGTTCAGCAGATGTTGAAGGGCATAGTGTACTTTACTTCCAGATTGTATTCTAGAATAACATTAACTTTGGTTCAGCAGATGTTGAAGGGCATAGTGTACTTTACTTCCAGATTGTATTCTAGAATAACATTAACTTTGGTTCAGCAGATGTTGAAGGGCATAGTGTACTTTACTTCCAGATTGTATTCTAGAATAACATTAACTTTGGTTCAGCAGATGTTGAAGGGCATAGTGTACTTTATTTCCAGATTGTGCTCTGGAATAAAAATTTTTCTTTCAACATGTTGGAGCAGTTGAAGTTTGCACCCAAGTACTTATATGTTTTCGTTGCAGTATTTTTATTGTGTAAAAAAAAATTTATTGCTGACTCCACAGTGGAGGTTGACTGCAGTGTACAATATTACATTGTGAGGCCCCATTTCTTCCACGGTGCAACCCTCATACCACTGTCTGAAAGCCGTGAGAATAGTCTTTTTCTGAACTACCTACAGGGGGAAATGGACCCAGGTAACCGCAGAGGATTGCCTTGTAAAACCATATATCCTCAATCTAAGCCAGCGCAATGGCTGCTACTCTACGTTTTGATTTATTATTTTTTTAAGAAATCTAAATTCAACTATTGTTCTCACTTCTTTTCTGTATTGTGCAATACAGACAATGAAGGAGCTGAATCATATGACCTTGGAAATTCCCATGAATCCGAAGACGAGTTGGACTTTGACGAAGAAGCATGTTCTAGTGGCCTTCAGGTTACAGGTAACAGTCATTATCAGCTCATGTTTTTTTCTAAGGGCATTAGTTATCACCTGCTGACATGGGTTATCTTGACAGTGTATGCAAGGATGCCAAGCCCAGGAACGAAAATATCTGTTACATCAGTGAATGACTCTTTGCTGATGACCAGGCCTTGATACAACAATGAAATTTCAACATCTCACAGCTATGAATTAAGAATGTAAAACAAATAATGTGAGAATTAACACTGAAAAGACAGAAGTTATGTCAATAGAAAGAAAAAAGCAGAACCTATATATAGCAGTAGCTTGCAAAGGCAATAAATAGGCATCTGAATTTAAATATCTTGGAACTACATCACCGAAGATGGTAAATTTGATGAAGAAACTAACATCCGATGCAGTAAAGCAAATTAAATATTGGGACATCCCCTTTTACAACACAAGACAATCCCAATCAGCACAAAGAAAGAAGCATTGTCATTCCAACAATATGCTACAAGAGCCAGACGTGGTTACTCACAACAAACTAAAAAAAGAAAGTTAGTAACCATGGAAATAAGGTGTCTGGGAAGGGCTGCAGGAGTCATCAGAAGAGATAAAGTCAGAAATGAGGTCATAAGAGAAAAATTCAGCAAAAGACAGCTAATCAGAGTTTGCCTACTTGAGGAGAATGCCTGTGATTCCATACCATTCGAGGCATACACCAAATGAGGAGGTAAACAAAGAGCACAAGGTAGATCATGAACAATATGGAAAGATAACATCATAGAAGCGATACAACAGCACGATGTAACTATGGTCGAGGCGGCCAGAAGAGCAAGTATCAGAACTTTGGTAATCTTAGTTTCAGCTTCATAGAAAACGGGTTATCCCATAGCTGCTCCGCTTGACACAGATTGACACAGACTGCAGTCTCAGCATATCCACTAGCATACACAGACATTAGAAGCATAAGGCAGCCATCAGAAGGGCTAACATCTTCAATACTTACAAACAGATCAACAACTGCACACATGTTTAAATGTAACCACAAAAGGCAACACAAATTCTGTGGTAGCAGGCCACACACCATTTTCTGAATCTATAGTTCACAACGCCACGTTGGTCACAGCAGAACCTTATATCTCCCTGGACACCCGAGGCGGTGAAAGAGGAAGTAAAGAAGACGTGTGATGATGATATAAATGTCAGTGCTCTCAGTGTTAATCTCTTTAGGACCAAACAATGCATCATGCTTTTGTTTGTTTCTGTTTTTTTTAATTTTGCAAAACAATGGAACAAAAGAGAAACAACACTCAGAGGAAATTTAAATAATGCGAATTAAAACAATACATTGCACAGTTTGTTGGCGGGCATATTTCACTGCATCTCACCAGGTGCATTACTGCAGTTGTATTATTGTTTGTTGACACAACAGATCAGCATCATGGCACACAGGTGTAACCCATAAGTGCTCTGTTCTACTTTCAACTCAAGCCTGAGTCTGAAAAATCTCAGCGCAGTGCACAAACTCCGTTGCACCAGTGAGGATCCTGAAATACTTTAGATAGATTTTTAACTCCACATTTTGCCCAAGCAGCGCCGTTAGGCTACTCTTTTTAATTTCCAACTGCCAAGGTATTTTTTTTACGTGCGTTGTATCAAGTATAAAGCATTTTTTAAGTTCATATGGGAATACATTGCTTTGAACTCAGTGGAAAGACGGACATACAGATAGACTGCTACTAGTACAGTAATAATTGGAACTCTATGCTGGCTGCTGCTGAAGATGGGGATGAAGCGCTTATGGGAATGTCCAGAGTGCTATTGTGTTGGTTCTTAGCCTGTCATGGACTGACTGATTGCCCATGTTTAAACGGGATCAGTAATGGAAGCGTAGTGACACAGCAGGGAATCCCCAACCCTTCACTATAATGGGAAATAAAGGGATTAAAACAAGAAGAGAATCCCCAACCTGACACTGAAATGGGGAATAATGGGATTGAAACAAGCAGAGAATCCCCAATCTGGCACTGAAGTGGGTAATAAAGGGATTGAAACAAGTAGAGAATCCCCAATCCGGCACTAAAAATGGGAAATAAAGGGATTGAAACAAGCAGATAATCTCCAACCCAACACTGAAGTAGGGAATAAAGGGATTAAAACAAGCAGAGAATCCCCAACCTGACACTGAAGTGGGGAATAAAGGGATTGAAACAAGCAGAGAATCCCCAACCCGACACTAAAGTGGGGAATAAAGGGATTGAAACAAGCAGAGAATCCCCAACCCGGCACTGAAGTGGGGAATAAAGGGATTGGAACAAGCAGAGAATCCCCAACCCGGCACTAAAGTGGGGAATAAAAGGATTGAAACAAGCAAAGAATCCCCAACCTGACACTGAAGTGGGGAAAAAGGGATTGAAACAAGCAAAGAATCCCCAACCTGACACTGAAGTGGGGAAAAAGGGATTGAAACAAGCAGAGAATCCCTAATCTGACACTGAAGTGGGGAAAAAGGGATTGAAACTAGCAGAGAATCCCCAACCTGACACTGAAGTGGGGAATAAAGTGATTGAAACAAGCAGAGAATCACCAACCTGACACTGAAGTGGGGAATAAAGTGATTGAAACGAGCAGAGAATCCCCAACCAAGCACTAAAAATGGGAAATAAAGTGATTCAAACAAGCAGAGAATCACCAACCAAGCACTAAAAATGGGAAATAAAGGGATTTAGAAAGCGAGGATGTCCAAAAGAATCCCTCAAACAGACATTGATGAGAGGCCAAAGATGCTGAACTGGATTCCCACCCATAATATCGAAGAGATTGCACAAGATGGGACAAAATCAAGGAATGAACTGTGAGCCCTATGTGACATGTAATGGCACAACAGGACAGTGATGATGACGAAGACGATGATAATAATAGTGACACAGCAGCACTATCCTGCATATTGTAAGATGTAACTAAACAACACCCTAGAAGGCTATTCACATGGACATCCCCTGACGGTGTTACCAAAAATCAGATAGATTACATTTTAATACAAAGTAGATGGAGATCGAGCATAACATCTGCAAAAACCCTGCGAAGTGCAGATTGCGATACAGATCATCAGTTACTAGAAGCAGATCTGAAATTAAAACTCAAAAAGCTTACCCGAGGACCAAGGCCATTTCGATTTGATCTCACAAAAATACCAGATGCATACAACGTAGAAGTGAAGAACCGTTTTGAGGTCTTGATGTCTGTACAAGAGGAAAATGACACCTGATGAACTGGCGGTACATGCTAGGGATATCTTGATAACAGCAGCTAAAGACTTAATACCACCAGGACTAAGCTACATAAACCATGGATCACACCATACACGTTAGAACTAATAAAACAACGAAGGGAACTGAAAAAGAAAGGAGAAACCAATGACAGTAGGATGAATTATAAATTTTTAACACGAGAAATAAGAAAGTACACAAGAAAGGATAAAAATCAGTATGTACAAGATTGTTGTATTAAAATAGAGCAGCATCATAAAAATGGAAAAGATTACGAAATGTTCAAGGAAATGAAGTTATTGACAAGAAATTTTCAACCTCAGTTAAATGTTATTTGTGACAAGTTGGGAAATACTTTACAGAATCTAGACAAATTCTAGGAAGATGGCAGGAATTGCAGCGGAATGTATGATATGAATGACAGAATATGAATGATATACATGAACCAGTAACAGTAGACATGCAGAACCTGAACCTTCATTAGATGAAATTTCATGGGGCCTGAGCCTGAAAAAATGGTAAATACCTGGATGTGATGAGATACCAGCTGAATTGATTAAAGCGGGAGGAGAAGAAAGCATAAAAATCTATCAATGCATTATGTTAGGAAATATGGTATTTGGCCAACAGACTGGAAAGAGAACTATCATCATTCCAATACCAAAAAAGGGTGACCTGAAATTATGTACAAACTATCGAACTATTGCCCTGATCAGTCATGCAAGCAAAATTCTACTAAAATTTATAATGAGAAGACTGCATAAGAAATGGAAGAAGAGATTAATGTAGCTCAGGCTGGATTTAGACAGGGAAGAGGAACAAGAGATCATATATTCAACATGCGTTTAATAATAGAGAAGTTTAGAGGGTAAATCTGTTCTTATGTTTTGTGGATTATTCAAAAGCATTTGACTGTGTACAACATCAGAATGAAATCATGAGGATATGGGCTTTCCATCACATATAGTGCTCCATTAAAATGCTCTATCAAGATCAGCAAGCAGCAGTCAGAATAGATGGAGAGACATCAGACTGGTTTGGCATCAAGCAAGGAGTCCCGTCAGGGATGTGTGCTGTCACCATTTGTTCAATCTGTACGCCGAAAATATAATGAGAAATGTAAAAGATGATATAAACAAAGAACAATATGATGCCCTAAACATCGGTGGTCATGAAATACCAGAAATTCGTTATGCTGATGATACAGTATTACTATCAACATCACAAAGTGGTTTAGAAAACTTATTAACCTCACTCCAAAGAAATAGTGAAAATCATAACTTATTTCTTAACATAGCAAAAACAAAGATAATGCATACAAACAAAACTGCCATGGAGAAGGAAATATATGTTAATAAGGAAAGATTGGAAGTGGTGGAACATTTCGAATATCTTGGGTCACTGGTTACCAACAATGGTGACACAATGAAAGAAATTAAAACGACTATCAATTGCTCTTCAAAGACTAAAACAACTGAATAAATTATGGAATTGTACAGATAGAATTACAAAGGTCAGATTTTAAGAGCAGCATCTTTCCCATTGCAACATACGCCTGTGAGACCTGGACACTTACTAAACAAGCGGAACAGCGCATAAATGCATTTGAGTATAAATGTTACAGACAGGTTCTAAGAATATCTTGGGTAAAGAAAAGAACAAATGCATCCATACTTCAAGAGCTGAATATTGAAGAGGGTTGGCTAGTAAAGACAATAAAACAAAGAAAATTGAAATATTTTGGTCACTTGAAACGTCATGGAAGTCTAGAGAGAACAATAATGGAGGGGTATATGCCTGGGAAAAGAGGAAGAGGAAGGCCAAGGAGAAGATGGGTGCAGGATGTGGCAGATGATCTCCAGATGGGTGTATCAGACGCAGGACATCTTGCTCATGATAGGAAGGTTTTCCGGAGGGTTGTTATGGCAGCGAGGTTCCGCGAGGGACATGCTACTGAATGAATGAACTAAGCACGGGTATAAATTTTGCTATCTCATTGTATGAAAACTCACATTTTTGTAGTTTATATTTTTCATTGATATTTAATATTATCTTTCTTTCTTCTCATATCTTGTCTACATTGATGCCTGGGCAGGTTGAATTCAAATTACCTGTTTAATTTATTCTTAGGAAGTTGAGCTAGATGAAGATTGTATCATGCTCCCTGAGGAACCTGTTACTGGGTTTCAGGATCTGACTGTGGAAGTTGTGGTATGTTATGTCTTGTTCACTTAAACCTGTCACTGCTGTCTGTATGTACCACTTTTTTAGAGTGGTGTAGACATGGGGTCGTGAGCCTGAGGATTTAGGACGGCATGGCCAGTGCTGTCGGCACAGACTTTGCAGGTTAGGTTTCATTTGCCCTCAACAGAAAAACTTCATCACCTTACCATGGGTCGAACCTGTGTCTCCCGCATGAGAGCTCATTTAAAACTGCTGATTCAGGAGTTCCTTTCCTGCAAGTTTCTGTAGCAAATAATTTGTTTACAGGGTACAGGGTGGGGGAGCTCGCCCAATGCAGAACCCTCCTCCTTTCTCATCCAGGCTTGGGACCTGTAGTGGTGGAGATGTCTCAGGAAAATGATGAAAGTAAAATTGGATGAATTCAAAAGGAGTGAGGAAAAAAGAGAAATATTGGTGCAACCACGAGTATCAACATTTATAAGACAGAAAGATGGCGCTACATTGGACACGTCCTGAAAAGAAACAAGCAGAGAATCACCAGGCATTAAAATGGGAAATAAAGGGATTATGGAGGCAAGGATGCCCAAAAGAAACTCTAAGATGGACACTGATGAGAGAGGTCAATGCTGCAGAACTGGATTCTATCAAAGATTTTGAACAGATTGTAAGGATAGAATGGAAAAGAAGAGTAGATTGCCAGCCATGTGTGATATATAATGGCACATCAGGACAAGGAATGAATTCAAGTAGTTAAACATTATGAGGGCTTTAAGACTGCAATGGTTAGAAAAGACAGAGAGAATGGAGCATAAGAAGCCACAATGAAATTCATATCTGTTCAAATCACCACTAATTCACTATGAGGGCTTATAGGCTGCATCCGTTGGGGCATAAAGAAAGAATGGCAGATAACAGAGCATATAGAGAGAATGGCAGATAACAGATCATATAGAGAGAATGGCAGATAACAGATCATATAGAGAGAATGGCAGATAACAGATCATATAGAGAGAATGGCAGATAACAGAGCATATAGAGAGAATGGCAGATATAGCATATGGAGGGAATAGCAGATATCAGAGCATATAGAGAGAATGGCAGATAACAGATCATATAGAGAGAATAGCAGATAACAGAGCATATAGAGAGAATGGCAGATAACAGAGCATATAGAGAGAATGGCAGATAACAGAGCATATAGAGAATGGCATATTACAGAGCATATAGAGAGAATGGAAAATAACAGAGCATATAGAGAGAATGGCAGATAACAGAGCATATAGAAAATGGCATATTACAGAGCACATATAGACAGAATAGCAGATTACAGAGCATATATACAGAATGGCAGATAACAGAGCATATAGAGAGAATGGCAGATATAGCATATGGAGGGAATAGCAGATATCAGAGCATCTAGAGAGAATGGCAGATAACAGAGCATATAGAGAGAATGGCAGATAACAGAGCATATAGGGAGAATGGCAGATTACAGAGCATATAGAGAGAATGGCAGATAACAGAGCATATAGAGAGAATGGCAGATAACAGAGCATATAGGGAGAATGGCAGATTACAGAGCATATAGAGAGAATGGCAGATTACAGAGCATATAGAGAGAATGGCAAATAACAGAGCATATAGAGAGAATAGCAGATAACAGAGCATATAAAGAGAATGGCAGGTAACAGCATATAGAGAGAATGGCATATTACAGAGCATATAGAGAGAATGGTAGATAACAGAGCATATAGGGAGAATGGCAGATTACCTAGCATATAGAGAGAATGGCAGATTACAGAGCATATAGAGAGAATGGCAAAAAACAGAGCATATAGAGAGAATAGCAGATAACAGAGCATATAGAGAGAATAGCAGATATTAGAGCATCTAGAGAGAATGGCAGGTATCAGAGAGACAAAGACTGCATATATAGATGAGTTTAATGGGGATAGACCACAGGGCTGTCCAAGAAGATGGCGGAGAGAATTTACAAGCAAGTCTAGGAACAGTTGAAGTCACTAGCTGGACACACAGGGACCACCAGAGAGATGACCACCAGAGAGATGACCACCGGAGAGATGAATGGAGGCAGGTGATGTCTGCAGCAGTGAAGCTCTAGGGCTTGGAATGCTCAAGAAGAATTGGTTAATTTGACATTCATAAGTCAGTTTTACCTACCCCCACATTGGGAGCGCCAGATGTAATCTTGAGCGGCCGATTTACAGTTTTTTAGTGTAAAATCAGAGAATCATCGAATAGGCATAGAAATGGAAAATAATGGGTTTCAGGAAATGTGGCCTTCCAAAGGAAACCCGAAGGTGAGCATTGATAAGAGAATCTAAGACTGGATTCCATCCAAATGATTGCACACGATAGAACAGTATGGAGAAATAGACATGGTGGCATAATAGGACAGCAAATGAATGAAAGTCACACACTTTGCAGATGGAGTTGAGGCAACACTGAACAAGAGCCAGTTCACACATCCGTAATGTCTGATTTGTAATAAAAAGTTGCAGTTTTTATATGCATAGTGTACGGGAATCATCATCATGTAGCAGGTCCTTTGCAGAATATCGCTCTCATCACAGTCTGCCTGAAAGAAACTTGGTCTCTTGCCAGTTCTCCCGCCTCATGCACTTTCACATTCAAGGAGTCACCTATATCCTGTGCCCATCTTTGTGTCGGTCGGCCCCTGCCCCTCCTTCCTGGTACCAAGCCTTCTGCTATAATTTTGTTCCAATCCGTCGTGGCAATCCGTACGGGAATAGCGAAAGTAAAGTGGGACTGTCCCGTATGATATTGACCATTCCTTATTTGTCTTCATTTCTATCATACGTCTTCTGTTATTTCCTGAAGACTTTAACTTTCTACATTTTCCACCTGAGGTTTGAAATATTTTAGTTACTTTTCTGACCTTTAAATAATAATATCAACTGTATTTATACAGTTGAACCGGATCCATTTTTGTTGATGGCAAAATCCTTCAAAGAACGAGATGCATTTAACATTCAGAACTTTTGAGTCCTGAAGAGAAAAGGGCCAGTATCTGCGAATGCAGAGACTTTGCTCTTCATGGGGACTGTGCTGCAGAACTCTCCTTCCCATCTCAAAGCTAAGAAATCAGCTGTTGTGCAAAGCCCAAACTGGAACTTCACATCTGCAGAGAGGCATAATAAGATAAAACCAGGTTTTGATCCAGCACAGTACATATAGATTAGCTAAGATTAGGTTTAGGCTGGTAAATGAATCTTCCTTGAATTTTAGGTATGTCATTGATAACAGTAGTAAATGAATCTTCCTTGGGTTTTAGGTATGTCATTGATAACAGTAGTAAATGAATCTTCCTTGAATTTTAGGTATGTCATTGATAACAGTAGTAAATGAATCTTCCTTGGGTTTTAGGTATGTCATTGATAACAGTGTTAAATGAATCTTCCTTGGGTTTTATGTATCTCATAGATAACAGTGTTAAATTAATCTTCCTTGGGTTTTATGTATCTCATAGATAACTGTAGTAATGAATCTTCCTTGGGTTTTAGGTAGGTCATTGATAACAGTGGTAAATGAATCTTCCTTGGGTTTTAGGTATCTCATAGATAACAGTAGTAAATGAATCTTCCTTGGGTTTTAGGTATGTCATAGATAACAGTGGTGAATGAATCTTCTTGGGTTTTAGGTATGTGTTTGACAACAGACTCGGTTACAGTGCCCAGTGGGAATCCATCTGTGTAGCATAACAGTTATGTCTGTCTTCCAGCTCTTTAGACTCAAACCCTTGTGCTTCTACATAATAACACTGCTGTATCGGACATTTTCTGTTATATCCCGAAGACTATCCACTGTCTAGACATGAAATCAATGTCTGTGTAACCTAATTTGTTACATCGGGCAAACAAGTGTAGAAAGATGTTTATTGAGGAAACCGGTAGGAAGATAGCAGATCATTTCCATGAACATCTTAAGGATATTTATAATGAGGCTGTTGAGCGGCTTCCTTCCATGTTAATATCTCTGACCATGAAGGTTATATAAATCCTATCTTGATGGACGGAAGTAAATCATGGGCATTTGGTAGATTATTGACAAATTATTTGGACGCTGCAGGGATGTGGTTTTATAGATGAATGATGAGAATACCCTGGACAGATAAAAACAGTAATGAGAATATCTTGAAGGAAACTGACTCATGAAGAGAACTGGTTGCCCACATCAGAAAGAGACAATCTTCTTTGGTCATGTGATGAGAAGGAGAAAATTGGACTACATTGTGACAGTAGGAAAGTTGGAGTGGAGGAGAGGCAGAGGGAGACAGAGAGAAAAGATGCTGGACTGTTTGACATCATGGCATGAAGGATCACTTGTGTCAGAGTTGATTGAAAGTACACGAGACAGAAGGTTGTAGATAGATATGACTACCAGCACTACACAGCATGGACTTTAAGAAGAAAAAGACTATAAAAGCGAAAGCAATAGCTCAGTTACTGCTGGAAAACCTGGCTCCGGTGATAAAACATACTGTTGCTCCTTGGTAAAATCCTTTCATTGAGTTGTGACGTTGTCAGTCCTTGAGGGATCAGTATTCAGCACCTCCATATTTAACTTTTTTCGTAACTGTGTTGAAGCTGTATTGTCTTGTCCGTTGAATTTTCCAGTCAAAGTTTGTGTTGTATTTAGTACTCTGTTCATAAAATATTTTTTGGTTGAAACGTTTGTTTGTATCTGCGCAGGACATGAAAGCATGAAAAGTTCTCTCTGAAGTCTCATGTGCCGCTAGGCATGAAGAGAATTGATTTGATTGAAATTGATTTGTTTGTATCTGTGCGACTTTTCCATTTCCTTCCACTGAGCTTTCTAGTCGCATTTTACGTTGTATTTGATACTTCAATTTACCTTGATTGTTGCAGATCAATAAACTGGAGACTGTGAAAATACAAGCCAAGATTGTACCCGTTTCTGACAAGTACGCCTTCCTGTAAGGGAGGAGGTATGTCTGTGTGACTAGCAGAACGAGGAAGTAGTGAAGGTCTTGAAAATATCATTATCATAGTTCCATAATACCATGTGTCATTACCTGGTCACCAGTTGCTTTTGACTGTCTGATTGGATCCCTCCACCCTAGAGGTCAGATGCACTGTACTTGATGTTTTACATATTTGAGATCCGATCAGTTTAGAAAGTACAGCCTTAGAAATACTGATAACACATGTTTGTTGCCACGCCCAAGACATGAATACAAAGCAAGGGGAAGACCACACACAAAAAATGGAATGACATCATCAAGAACATTCTTAAAGATAAACTTATACAGCACATTCGAAAGAGCATATAGAAAATCCTTACATTTCTTCCTTTTGAACACTTCGATAAGCTTACTGGATGGATGAAGAGAAGAAGAAGAAGACAGGTTGCATAAGTTACAGAACTTTCTAGAGCTATCTGTAAAAGAGCAAAATTGTGATTTGATACAAGTATTTTTAAACAATTACTGTCATGATTACCACTGGAAAGGAAGGGCTAATGATGAATATCATAGCAAGTGGAGAATTGCTAGAAGTAAAAAGTATGTTTTTTTTTTTTACTTTTAGTAGTTTGTTGCAGAATTATTCATCGTCGTCTTATGTTAACCAGCTGTAAATTTTAGCCAAAAGTTCTGATTGTTCGTCTTGTTCCAAAACTTGGGGTTTGCATGCACATCCATTTAATGGATCTGGTTTATTTGCATGCCGACTGTTGGTTCCTCGCCTCAGGCTGATGCACTTCAACTTTGAATGAAACATCCCTGATTAGTCACCTGGTATGACGTGCTTGTTAAGGTAGCAGTGGGTCTATTCCCCCCCCCCCCCCCCCCGCCCAAAAAAAAGATCAAGAACAGTTGAATTAAGAAATCAACATCACAGCACTCGGGTCACCCCCATAAGCGCTCTGTCCCCATCTCCAGCAGCAAGCAAAGAGTTAAAATTTTGATGGTACCAGCAACAGTGATTAAGAACAGATAAATATATAATTAGCTCAAAAAAAATGAGAATGGTAAGTTATTATATGCTCAGCACTACTGTAAATATGCAGAAATGTGAACAATTTTGTTATGGCTGTAGAAATATGTGCGTATGTGTGTGTGTGTGTGTGTATATATATATATGTATGGGTTGCATTTCATAGAAAATAAGGATGAATAAATATATAACTTTCAGAGTGGTTAGGAATAAAAAGAGAAATAATAAAAGAAAGAAAAAAAATGTCACGTCAGATCTTTTGATCAGATCAAACACCAAGGTAGAAACAAGAATCCAACAAGCCAACACTGTCACGTATTAACTTGCCCCAATTTTAAAACACGCTGCTGTCCCAATAGAGACATAAAGACAAATTAAAAATACAATATTTATACTGACGTTAGGTTACCAATGTCGGACTTTGGCATTGAAAAAAGAACACGAAAGAAAACTAACCAACTGTGAGATGAGATGTTTGAGAATGGCTGTGAATAAAACCAGAAGAGATCGAGTGAGAAATGACATGATCACAAGAACTGTTGGAACAACACCCATCGTCAAATTTATTGAGAAACAAAGAATGAAATGGTTTGGCCATCTAATGAGACTGAAACAAACGATGCCAGCAGCAAGAGCGTACAACATGCAAATCAAAACATCAAGAGGCAGGGGAAGACCGAGAAGAATATGGATTGAACGAGTCACTGACACCTTGAGACAGCATAACATTATGATATATCAAGTGACTGAGAGCGGCCTGGCTTGGTTGCCGATCATCTGATGATCTGTGACCCCTACCGGCATAAGCAGATATTGACAAAAGAAAGGAAGAAGAAACACCAAGGTCGGCGTTGTAATTCCATGCTACCAGGTTCGATCACAGCTCAGGTGATTGGACAGCAGACCACCTTGCTCTGGTTTCAGTAGCGGTATCATGAGCCGGTCATTCAGCAAGCAGTGGCTATCGTGAGCCGGTCATCCAGCAAGCAGTGGCAAACTACTGGAGTAAACTTTGCTTTGTATTTTACAAATGGACCATTAAAAAAGCCTGTGTTGGTTCTGCAGTGTCTTGTAAAGGATACACAGCTAACTAAACCTCACCCACATTGACGAGAAAAGTCAAAGATAGGCAGATTGGTGGAAAGTAGCAATAGACAACACACAGCAGTGGGTAAGAACACCTCCCAACAATTAGAACTTTTCACACAATAGTGGGTAAGAACACCTCCCAACAATCAGAACTTTTCACACAGCAATGGGTAAGAACACCTCCCAACAATCAGAACTTTTCACACAATAGTGGGTAAGAACACCTCCCAACAATCAGAACTTTTCACACAATAGTGGGTAAGAACACCTCCCAACAATCAGAACTTTTCACACAATAGTGGGTAAGAACACCTCCCAACAATCAGAACTTTTCACACAATAGTGGGTAAGAACACCTCCCAACAATCAAAACTTTTCATACAATAGTGGGTAAGAACACCTCCCAACAATCAGAACTTTTCACACAACAGTGGGTAAGAACACCTCCCAAATATCAGAACTTTTCACACAACAGTGGGTAAGAACACCTCCCAACAATCAGAACTTTTCACACAACAGTGGGTAAGAACACCTCCCAACAATCAGAACCTTTCACACAACAGTGGGTAAGAACACCTCCCAACAATCAGAACCTTTCACACAACAGTGGGTAAGAACACCTCCCAACAATCAGAACTTTTCACACAACAGTGGGTAAGAACACCTCCCAACAATCAGAACTTTTCACACAACAGTGGGTAAGAACACCTCCCAACAATCAGAACCTTTCACACAACAGCGGGTAAGAACACCTCCCAACAATCAGAACCTTTCACACAACAGCGGGTAAGAACACCTCCCAACAATCAGAACCTTTCACACAACAGCGGGTAAGAACACCTCCCAACAATCAGAACCTTTCACACAACAGTGGGTAAGAACACCTCCCAACAATCAGAACCTTTTCACACAACAGTGGGTAAGAACACCTCCCAACAATCAGAACCTTTCACACAACAGTGGGTAAGAACACCTCCCAACAATCAGAACCTTTCACACAACAGTGGGTAAGAACACCTCCCAACAATCAGAACCTTTCACACAACAGTGGGTAAGAACACCTCCCAACAATCAGAACTTTTCACACAGCAGTGGTTAAGAACACCTCCCAACAATCAGAACTTTTCACACAACAGTGGGAAAGACACCTCCCAACAATCAGAACTTTTCACACAACAGTGGATACCAACCCCACCTAACAATCAATCAGAACTTCTCACACAACATCAGACAGCAGTATACCGGATCATTATGTTGAGTTTAATATTCAAATTCAAATAAACATTCTTAAATAAGTTTACTTACTGTCTTTATGAATTTTTATGTAAGAGAAATGTATGTCTTTATGTTTCTGGGAAAATATGACAGCAAGAAGGTTCTTGACAACCTATTGTCATGGCATGGAGGGGTGTCAACACGCAAACTGATACACGCAGATTGCAGACTGGAGGGGGCATGATCACCAATGCCAGTCGGCAAGGCGCTTGATGATGATAATGTTTCTGTTTATGAAGATGGGGATAAAAGGTAATTCTTCTGCATTCCCTTTAAAAGGACGGTTGGCACATTATGTTTTTACAGCCAGGCTTTTGTTTCTTCAATTTCATGGCAGTAAATTCTGGCAGAAAGTTCTGGTTGTACTCTCCCTCTGGAGTTGTTTTCTTTCAGAACCTGAATGTTGCATTCTCATCTGTTTTACAGATCTGGCTTATTTGTATGCAGATTGCTGGTTGCTTGCCTCTCAGGCAAATGCATTCTGACTTCGATAGAAATTCCCAGTCAGTCAACTATTACATTCTTGTCAGGAGAGGTGGTAGGTCTATTCTTGTTTTCCCTACAATGGATCCGCCTGGAACCCACACTGGAGGCTAGGCTGCAATATCTGCCCCCAGCACACGTGATTTCAACAACCTCCTTGCAATGATCAACACAGTTCGTTCGTTTAATCAAGAGGACGTCAGTGGAGAATGAACTTATTTCATTACCAGCTGTTCAGTGTTTTTCAACATTCGTTCCTGTTCAGCATGTTGTGTTTAAGTAGCAGTCAATGTGTCGGAGTACAATGCCAGACAATCAGAGCAGTCATGCAGAAACTTCAGTAGCAGTCAATGTGTCGGAGTACAATGCCAGACAATCAGAGCAATCATGCAGAAACTTCAGTAGCAGTCAATGTGTCGGAGTACAATGCCAGACAATCAGAGCAGTCATGCAGAAACTTCAGAGTCGCCGCACTCCTAAATAACTGCCTTGTACGACTTGCTTGTTTGGGGGGGGGGGGGGGTCAGGCACCAGATCCCACACCGGGAGACAAATCGCAATATAAAATAAATCCAGCTATGTGGAAGTAAATCATGGACAATAAGCGGATTGTGGAGATAATTATCAAGGGTGAAGATTGTGTCACTGTGTTGTATCAAGGGTAAAGATTGTGTCACTGTGTTGTATCAAGGGTGATGATTGTGTCACTGTGTTGTATTAAGGGTGATGATTGTGTCACTGTGTTGTATCAAGGGTGATGATTGTGTCATTGTGTTGTATCAAGGGTGATGATTGTGTCACTGTGTTGTGTTAGGGTTGTGATTGTGTCACTGTTGTATCAAGGGTGATGATTGTGTCATTGTGTTGTATCAAGGGTTGTGATTGTGTCACTGTATTGTGTTAGGGTTGTGATTGTGTCACTGTGTTGTGTTAGGGTTGTGATTGTGTCACTGTGTTGTATCAAGGGTGATGATTGTGTCATTGTGTTGTATCAAGGGTTGTGATTGTGTCACTGTGTTGTGTTAGGGTTGTGATTGTGTCACTGTGTTGTATCAAGGGTGATGATTGTGTCACTGTGTTGTATCAAGGGTGATGATTGTGTCACTGTGTTGTGTTAGGGTTGTGATTGTGTCATTGTGTTGTATTGAGGGTGATGAATGTGTCACTGTGTTGTATTGAGGGTGATGATTGTGTCATTGTGTTGTATTAAGGGTGATGATTGTGTCACTGTGTTGTATTAAGGGTTGTGATTGTGTCACTGTGTTGTATCAAGGGTGATGATTGTGTCACTGTGTTGTATTAAGGGTGATGATTGTGTCACTGTGTTGTATCAAGGGTGATGATTTTGTCACTGTGTTGTATTAAGGGTGATGATTGTGTCATTGTGTTGTGTTATGGATTGTGATTGTGTCATTGTGTTGTATTAAGGGTGTTGTGTAAAGGTTGATGTTTGTGATGCTGGCCTTCACATCAAACAACTTGGCGTTTATCCGCATTCTACTTTGGGCACGTCCCAGACACAGATTGAGCCATCCTTGGCGCCAGAAACTAGGACAGTACCGCAAGGCCCAAACTTCACCTTGAGAACTATGTCGCTGTGAGCTTGACCAATGTGTGAGACTCTGGCTTCGTCCAGGCACCACAGCTAGGGGGAAAAATAGGTCATTGTGAATATTGTATTGGTCATTTTTAGTATGTCATTGTGAAATTGGTATACAGCATTAAAATATGGTATAGGGCATTGTGAATATTGTATAGAGCAGCGGTTCTCAAACTTGGTGCCGCGAGTGTATGCCAGTGGTGCCGCGGCAGTAATCAAGAATTTTTCAAAATTTGCTTGAGATCAGCGAAGACAGCAGGTTAAAACAGGAACACCGTGAAGGAAGCCAAGAAGAGTTCTGGATGTAGGTGTATACTGAAGACAGTGCTACTGGCAAGGTTGCAGTGCATTCTCAACGTGCGCTTACAAGAAAACAGATGCAGGAGTAAACTTTCTGGATCGAGTGATGTGAGGGTAAAATCAACTAAATTTCTCATATACATAAAGGAAATAATGAAAAATTCATCCATTTTCATTCATGGCATTAAAAACAACTGTACATTAAAAGTGCACTTTTTTTCTTCTTTTCCTTAGTTTTTTTTTTTTTTTTTTTTTTTTCAACTAATGCATTTATTGAATGAATCAAGCCTCAGCCTCTTCTCCAGGCTTGTTGAAGACGTATGTCAGGCAGCACTTGCCGCAGTACTGTCTGTCAAAGTGAGATGCCATGAAGATCCCAGCACCACAGTATTTGTTGGGGCACTCTCTGCGAAGCCGTGTGATTTTGCCATTCTCATCAACCTTGTAAGTATTTGAGAACCGCCAGCTTGACCTTCTTCTTCTTGTGTTTGTTTTTCTTCGGGGTGGTGTAGTTCTTCTTCTTCCTCTTCTTGCCTCCACCTCGCAGTCTCAGCACCAGATGAAGAGTAGACTCCTTCTGGATGTTGTAGTCGGACAGGGTACGTCCATCCTCGAGCTGTTTACCGGCAAAGATCAACCTCTGCTGGTCAGGAGGGATGCCTTCTTTGTCTTGAATTTTAGCCTTGACATTTTCAATAGTATCGCTGGGCTCTACCTCAAGGGTAATAGTTTTACCCGTTAGGGTTTTGACAAAAATCTGCATGATGCCACCACTCTACGAATCGATGGCTGCCAAACCGGAAAAATCGCTTAAAGGGTAGGTGTGCCACGTAACAAATGTAGCCCGATAAGGGTGCTGCGGGGGGAAAAGTTTGAGAACTACTGGTGTAGAGCATTGTGAATGTGGTATAGGTCATTATAAATATGGTATAGAGCAGGGTTTTTCAACTGGTGGCCCGCAGACCAAATTTAGCACCTGGATCATTGCCAGTTGTATTGTAGTAATGATCTTACTATGCTGGGGCTCTAGCCTGTGATGATCCCTATTGTCAACATTTTGGAGAACTAATGGAAGTTATGGTCCCTTAAAGATAATGGAAGTTATGGTCCCTTGAAGATGATGGAAGTTATGGTCCCTTGAAGATAATAGAAGTTATGGTCCCTTGAAGAAGAGGCAGGACACGACCAGCACGGGATATCAAGGAGACCCAAAGCATCAGGAATCACAAGGCAGGAAGTTAGCAAGTGACCCGGGTGCTTTCCGCATACCAGTTGACAGCAACGGTCTTCAAAGGACCTGCTTCATGATAAGTTTGCCATTTCTGATAGAGAAAGCTATAAAGTAAAAGCATGAAGTTCTCAATTTTTACCGTGAATATCAAGGGTTCTTAATTTTTGGCAGTCTGAGCTCTTGAGGTTAATTTACTCTTCTTCTTCGGCATTCTGAGCTCTTGAGGTGAATTTACTCTTCTTCTTCGACATTCTGAGCTCTTGAGGTGAATTTACTCTTCTTCTTCGACATTCTGAGCTCTTGAGGTGAATTTACCCTTCTTCTTCGACATTCTGAGCCCTTGAGATTAATTTACTCTTCTTCTTCGACATTCTGAGCTCTTGAGGTGAATTTACTCTTCTTCTTCGACATTCTGAGCCCTTGAGATTAATTTACTCTTCTTCTTCGACATTCTGAGCTCTTGAGATTAATTTATTCTTCTTCGGCATTCTGAGCCCTTAACAATCATTGCTGCAGAAATCACCAATGTCCATTTATCTTTTGACTGGCCTTTATTTTTTAGTTAGTGATTCCAAGTGTTTGTAGTTTGGCCTGATTATGATCTCTCCATTGTCTTCGTGGTCTGCCTTGATATCTGCTCCCTTTAACTCCCCTGCGTTCACAGTTTTTGCCTCTCTGTCATCTGCCGTTCTGTCTAGGTATCCCAGCCATTTCGGTCTCAACTTTCATGATGCCAGTGATCAGTGGCGATTTAAACAGGTTATGAATTTTGTTGTTGCTTCTCACTCTTATACAAAAGCCTTACGTCAGTAAACGTGATTACCTTAACCAAGCGATCTTCTCCTGAACACGCAAACAGTTTTTTGTCCTTCTTCTCCACGTCCAGACAAAAGACGCCCCCGTAGCTACAGCCATCCACTATGCGCAGACACTCGCCAGATTTTATCTGTTGTGCGGTAACAACAATAATTTATATGTAGCTTTGCCTGTTGGAGGTACTGCAAATCAGACAGCATTATGATACGCACCGTGAGCGCCGACAAAAAAAAAAAGAAAGTGGGGGGGGGGGTGTGTACGCCCGCGCATTATCCTGGTTTAAGTGCTCAATAATAATAATAATAATAACAGTAATGTGCCCCCCCCCCCCCCCCAAAAAAAAAAAAAAAATCTTAATTAAATAATGTAAAATGTATTATAACGAAATAATTAAAGGAGGACTTCTATACTTGGTTATGGGATCTTTTTTTCAGGAGTGGAGTGGGTGCGTTCCCCTCAAGAAGCCTAAGTTCCCAGACATGCATGCTTTAAAAAAATATTTTGTATAAAAAGGTAATAACTCAATATATGATGCTGATCTCCTTACTTATCATTTTGCACGTGTCCGTGACCTCACTTATCAATCGACTTACTTGAATATACTCTTAAACGTATCCCCCTTCTTCTTTTTCTTTCATTCGCTTGAAATAAATTATCTTTATCTGCAATGTTGTCTCTAGTATGAACTTCACTGTCTTGTAATTCACTCAGCGACCCGTAAAGTTTTACTTGCACCATTGTTTTAAAGTTTTGTCTTGATATGTTGTATTTGGGACAGTCTTGGAGGACGTGATCTGTTGTCTCAGGTGCCAGTCCATAGGCCCTATGTGCACATGGCTGATTCACCGATTTTGAACTGTGTGTACATGTGGCTGCGAAGTCGACTGTACCCTGTTCTAAGGCGTAGAATAAGAACTTGGTCTGTTCTTTCCATATAATGGTAATCGTCTTGTTTTTATACTTATCCGTTCATCCACTTTATCTAAGCGCACAGGGGATGATACTAAACGTATGATAGGAAGAGGAAATGCAGCCTGAAAACTGTATGTTTTGGCAGAATGAACCACTCCTTTAGAATTGGCTAGCAGCTAGTATAGGAGTGAGACTCCGACAAGCGGACAGATAGGGCACTGCTCTTTTCTGATTCGACAGCTTCTGCAGCCTGCTTTGATACAAACGTAATGGTGTTACTTTTCACTACTCAAGAACTGTCCAGGCTCATATTGGACTAATCCGGTACACTGGCATTTTGAAACGCCTAAACTACAGATGCCAACATTCCTACAAATAGATCTACTTCATGACCTAACTACTTTTCTGTCGACCTGTCTTAATACCTGTCTGTCTGTGCGTGTGCCAGTCTGCCTGCCCACCCAGCCGCCTAGCCCTTCATCCATCCACTCTTCCACCAAGGGTAGGGGGGGGGGAAGGGGTGGCTGCGTGGTCTCGAGGCATGATCTCCGCCTCGAGTGCTGGAGGTTCCGGGTTCAAGCCACGGTAAACGTTGGGATTTTCTTTCACGTGGACTTCTAGTAATTTCCTCGGGTAGTAAGATCAGATGCCCGTGTGTACTGTTGTGCACGTGAAAAATCCCTTGGCAGTTGGAAATCGAAAAGAGTAGCCCGGCGCTGCCCGGGCAAAATTTGAGAGTTTAAAATCTACCCAAAGTATTTCAGGATCCTCGCTGGTGCTGCGGAGTTCCCGCACCACGCTGAGATTCTTCGGACTCGGACTTGAGTTAGAAGTAGAACGGAGAACTTGAGATTCTTCAGACTCAGGCTTGAGTCAAAAGTAGAACGAAGCACTTATGAGTTACTACCCTTGTGCCATGATGTTGATCCGTCGTCCAAACCTAAAACCTTTAAACCACCAAGAATACTGGCCATGCTGGCAACATGCAGTAATATGATCTCAGGTCTGGCCAGTTAAGTGTTCTGGTGGAGACCATGCAGTGTGGAACAGTGGAGGACATACTTGCCACCACAGCCTGCGTCTCAGTGCTGGATTTAGAAATAACCTACGGATCAGGGCCTCACAATCTGCAGCGGTCTCAAAAATTTTTGTTTCTCCAAAAATGCAATTTCCTTGTTATATTTTTTTAAAGCAATTTTGTTAATATAGCCTTTTTAGAGGATTACATAATATAATTTATGTGACTTTGCAAACACATTCTTTAAATTTTAAACTAAAAATTAAAAGACAACATATTCCCAGTGAGACAAAGAAACCAGATGTCAAAAAGCACGTGTACTTAAATACCAATTGTCACCATTATTAGGACATCCAAGCATAAACTATGAGGGCAAAGAGACAGATTATAAACAGCATATTCATTCCAACATTAAGCTAACAGTGCCAAACATGGACACTCTCTAAAGCCGATGTACGAAAAATCACCACTAGCAAGACGAGATGCATGAGAAAAGCCGCCAGCCTAACCATCCGAGATCGAGAGAATAATGAAACTATCAGGCAAATTGTGAGAACGACACCTTGTACTAGATTAATCGAGAAACAGCAGATCATGAGGTTTGGTGGTCTCGTTAGAATGCAGCAAGATCAACGATCAGATACCACCACAAGCACTACATCTCAGAAGATCAGCTACAAGAGCAAGAGGACGGCCGCGGAAATATGGATCGACAACATTAAAGACACTCTACGCCTTCATGGCATGACAATAGCCAGTGGCAGCCAACGTGCACTGGATCGTAAATTATTCACCCCAACGACGCTCAAAAGAAGAAGTGGTTTATAAGTTTGATGATACAGATTTTCCTAAGATCCATTTATTTCAAAGGCGTATATATTTTACAATTTTCGGAGATTAACTGATGTAATAAAAACGACAAGGGTCCCGGGGCTTTAAGGTTTGAGATTTGAAGCTTGAACAACGGATCAACATCATGGCACAAGGGTAGTAACCCATAAGTGCTCCGTTTTTCTTCTAACTCAAGTCTGAGTTTGAAGAAGCTCAGCACAGTGCACAGGCTCTGTAGCACCGGCGGGGATCCTGAAATACTTAAGGTAGGTTCCCAGGGCTTTAAATAGCTTAAAGGCTCGGAAGATATAACTCCGGTCCTGCTGTCCCTACTCAGTAGAAAACCACGGGTACGGAAAATATAACTCCGGTCCTGCTGTCCCTACTCAGTAGAAAACCACGGGTACGGAAAATATAACTCCGGTCCTGCTGTCCCTACTCAGTAGAAAACCACGGGTACGGAAAATATAACTCCGGTCCTGCTGTCCCTACTCAGTAGAAAACCACGGGTACGGAAATATAACTCCGGTCCTGCTGTCCCTACTCAGTAGAAAACCACGGGTACGGAAAATATAACTCCGGTCCTGCTGTCCCTACTCAGTAGAAAACCACGGGTACGGAAAATATAACTCCGGTCCTGCTGTCCCTACTCAGTAGAAAACCACGGGTACGGAAAATATAACTCCGGTCCTGCTGTCCCTACTCAGTAGAAAACCACGGGTACGGAAAATATAACTCCGGTCCTGCTGTCCCTACTCAGTAGAAAACCACGGGTACGGAAAATATAACTCCGGTCCTGCTGCCCCTACTCAGTAGAAAACCACGGGTACGGAAGATATAACTCCGGTCCTGCTGTCCCTACTCAGTAGAAAACCACGGGTACGGAAAATATAACTCCGGTCCTGCTGTCCCTACTCCGTAGAAAACCACGGGTACGGAAAATATAACTCCGGTCCTGCTGTCCCTACTCAGTAGAAAACCACGGGTACGGAAAATGAAAACAAGATCTACCACAAATATAAACGATCGACATTACAACCAACCAATTCACCTCCCAGAAGTAGATTTTCCCGTCCCCTCCACACGTGATTAGATGGAGGTCATTGCTGCAGAAACTGACAGACGTTAGACCCAGGTCAACTTTAACTCCTCCCTTCTTAAGTCCCCTGCTCAGCTCATACAAGACAGCGGAGCCGTCCACACTTGAAGACACGCACATCTCGTCGTTTTCTGAGACCTGTGAATTCACTAACTCGGCATATACATCTGATAATTGAATATCCTAAAGAACCGTAAACTTTAACAGCATCTTTTGCCTTTTTAGCCCCCAACTCAAGCGAAGTCGTTCTATCTTTTGGTATCGCATGCAGCTCTCTCTATGTCTACTAATCTTTCTAACCTCATTCTCCAGCTCCCTTCTCCATGTGTTTTTTTTTTTGGCCTTCCTTTATTTCTATGCCCCTCCGGGTTCCAGTGCAAAGACATTCTAGTTATATTTCTCTCCAGTTTTCTCAAGTTTCTCAATGTGTGTCCTGTCCAACGCCAGCGTCTTTTCCTCACCTCTTGGTCCAGTAGAGCTTGCTTATTTCTCTCCCAAAGCTCTACATTAGTGATTCTATCATACAATTTGATACTCTCTTATCTGCACAGGCACCAGTTAATGAATGTCTGTAGTTTATTAGTAGCTGACTTAGTTGTTCTAAGTGTTTCCGCTCCATACAAAAGTACTGATTTGACATTTGAACAGCATACTTATGCTATATTGTGCTTCAGTATGGCGTGTGCAAATGCTGGCTTTCGCATGTGACTGCCTTTAACAACAGTCAGCTGTAGTTCTGGTGGGAGACTGTTAGCGTTAGTACATCTGATGGCTACCATATGCAGTGACTTTATGTATGCGATTGGAGAATTTGACTGTTTTTCTTTAGTTTTTTGGGGTTCCAAATTTTGTGTTATTTCCATGCGTAACAACGGAGCAGTTATGTGGTTCCTGTCTACGTGAAGATGTAAATCTCGATTACCGACTGACAAACTTGAACAAAGAAGTCACTAACAAACTGTGGCATGATGTTGTCTACATCCCCTAACAAGTGCTAATTGGCCTATAAAATATAGGGCTTGCCCTTTAAGCCGAATACGCCTGAAAACGTGGAAGAGGTCACTTACTTTACTTTGTATCTGATTTTTTTTATCGTCTTTTTTTTCGAATTATATTTCCCTGATGTTCTCCCATCACACAATAAGTTCTCTTGTAGCACAACAGAAAAAGAGTTCAGCAACTGCTTTCACGTATCTGTTGAGAACTTTTTTTTTCTCCATTTAATATTTTGCTTATATTTTACATGACAATAACCGGCAAAAGTATTAACTGATTGTGGTGGTGATGAAGGTGGTGTTGGTGATTGTAGTGTTGGTAGTGTTGGTGATGGTGGTGGTGATAATGATGATGATGGTCGTGGTGATGATGAAGATGACTGCCTCACGGGTTCCCCGGTTATTGCCGTTCAAAAATAAATCAGACATGTTGTGATTCTTCGGTCGTAACCGATTTGAAATCTGGCCAAAAATGGAGTTTTCAACGCCTCCCCCACCCCCCCCCCCCCCCCCTCCCCCCCCCCCCGCAAAATCGAACAAAGTTGGACTAAAATGTCCCCGCTGTGAGATGGTTTTATGGATAAAGACAGTTCATTTGTTTTTAAATATTTGTATTCCGTGGTACAGTGTGTGCTGTGTGGCACAGTGTGTGCTTTGTGGTACAAGGTGTGCTCTGCGGTGCAGTGTGTGTTTTGTGGTACAGTGTGTACTTTGTGGTACAAGGTATGCTCTGTGGTGCAGTGTCTGTTTTGTGGTACAGTGTGTACTTTGTGGTACAAGGTATGCTCTGTGGTGCAGTGTCTGTTTTGTGGTACAGTGTGTGCTTTGTGGTACAAGGTGTGCTCTGTGGTGCAGTCTGTGTTTTGTGGTACAGTGTGTGCTCTTATGTACCAAATGTGTTCTGTGGTACAAGATGTTCATATATTACACATATTACTCTAAGGCAACAGAAAAAAAAAAAAAAAGATACAGAGCAAAGAAAAAATTTGCATTAATTCTTTCGTTCGTTCGATTTCAATTAGCCTCTTCCAACCTCTGACCAGGGAGCTTGCCTCGTCGTAATCAACATCGGTTATAATTTTTAACAAATTGTGTTGCTATTTTATTGCGTAGTGTTTGGTGCCAGCATTTTATGTCTTCCGTGTCGGTCTGGCCGGCCAGGTCGTTCCCGTCTCATTGTGCAGGCTTGGATCTGATTAGGTGATGTGTTCCTTATTGTGCCATCCGTTGGTGGTGCTACTGCCACTGACTGGGCTGTCCTCTGGGGTGTTCGTGGTGATATTGCTGTACCAGTTATTCATATTGTTTTAGTAGCTGTTAGAGCTGTTGTTTTGCCATTGGGTCATCAGTTGCTATGTCGCTCTAGACCAGACCTCGTCAGCAAAGGACTCCGAGGAAGGATAAGATAGCGCAGTCGATAGAATAATCGCTTTTAAATCCATCTGCGACTCACCGCAGCCCACGGCCGGTGTTCGAAATCGGACGATTCCTAGGGTTCATCCAGCCTCTAGGAAATGGGTACCAGAGTTAACACTCTGGAGTGAGGTCTATAGATACACGGCTAGCCCTGATCCTAACGACAGCACTAACCATCTAACAAGAAGGGACCAGGCCAACACCTTCAGACTCAGAACACAACATACTCCACTCAGTGGACATCTAAACAGAATACAGCTACAACACTCCCTGGAGTGCCAGCTATGTAACTACCCCTACGAAACTGTTGACAACCATCTCTTTGTGTGCTCAAAACTCAACGAAACTAGAAGAATGCTACTTCCTCCGAGACCAGACAAGTGGAACACCTTGTACGGAGTTAAAAAACAGCTTCTGAAAATATGTAAATTCCACTATATGGCACTGAGCCAGAGGGCGAAAGCTTATGTGCCGCTGGATCGATAACAACAACACTATTCTGTAGTAAATGGAGGAACGTCGCTGTAGCTACGGAGTTTCGTTCGGACGACGATACAGGCGAACAGTTTCCTATCAGCTGTCCTTACTAGTGGCAGAGCACTTATGGTTTTTAACAGTGTGCAATGACGCTGGTTCACATCTCCCGACTTTACATGACCTACAAGATCTGTGTTTCGAACCTGTCGCCTTCCACACAGTAACTAGACGCTTGCCTTTTTACCCAGAAATCTTAGATTAAATACACGGGACTCCACGTCGACCTAGCCAGAGCTGTCTTCAAAATGGCAGTGGTAGGGGGTACATGTCACAGCTGTAATAGCCGCTTACACTTTCAGTTGCAAAAGAAAATTGCATTACTTTACTGTTTACTGTTACCATTCTAAACCAGTTGAACATCAAGGAGAACTGGCTCATAAACAGCATCCTGTCCCGAAAGTTGAAGTAATTTGGCCACATCAAATGGCATAGTGGCTTGGAAAAGACGGTGATGAATGGTGCAGTTTGTGGAAGGCGAGGCAGTGGTCTACCACCGGGAAGATGGATACAGGACATTGAAGATGCATTGGCATTGAAGGCACATTGGGCCGGAGAGCTGGCTAGGGAAAGGGATACTTTCAGGCGTGCCGTGAAGATAGCGACGTTCTGTAAAGGACTTGCTGACTGATTTACTATTTACTACAAACACGTCACTCGGATTTGCGTCTCGAACATAGCTTGCACCACTCATTGGCCTGCGAAAACTACCAATACTAAGAAATCAGCTGCGAGCGCATCCTCTCATTAGCGGAGCGAGGAAAAAAATTACGCGATACCTATCCAGTGTAATCGTTACCTGCTAATGCTTACACCTGCGAAGTGTTCACACCTCAAAACTACGAAAATGTCATGTAATATTGTGATATTAACCACACTTTCCAATGACCTTATATTGGTTTATTAAATTTTGTTTAACGCTATACACGCCATGGATGTAAAAAGGTTCATTTTAACTTTTAGAACGTATCGCGTCATAATTACACAGTCTTATCACTTAAATACGGGTGTCTCCTTGGCGAAGTGGTTAAGCCATTTGCCTCGAGCTCAAAAGGTCGTGGGTTCGTTTCCTGGCTGTGTCGTTCAGTTCCCGAGTGCAATTTTTACGAAGATTTCACTGCAGCTACAGAGTTTGTGCTTTGTTCAATGTTTCCCACAGGCGACTATCTGTTTCTGCAGAAGGAGACCAAGCCATACGATATAAAAACCCGCTGCAATGAAGTCGATACTCTCAACTTCAACCTTTCACTGTACCCCTTAAATATCTACAGATAAATTAACACAGGCCACCCATTTGATGGCACGCTCACCCTGTTACCTGCACTTTTGTGATGGGCCCAGTCTGGCTGGTCAAGTGATACAGCAGCAGGCCCTGTCGAAGCCTCTTCCCCCTGGTGTCCAGGTCGTCGACAAGTCTCCAGACTCGGCACTGACCGTCGTCACCGCCGCTGACCAGAACATCCGACTTGGAGGTCAGGTCAATAGATGTCACTGCCTGGGACAGGTCACATGACATGTCGTCAACAGAAAGGGTAGGCTGATTTTATAATTCAATCAATTAACCAATCAGCATGTCCTTTACAGAACGTCACTCTCTTTTAATCAACCAATCAGCATGTCCTTTACAGAACGTCACTCTCTTTTAATCAACCAATCAGCATGTCCTTTACAGAACGTCACTCTCTTAATTATTCATGTCCTTTACAGAACGTCACTCTCTTTTAATCAGCCAATCAGCATGTCCTTTACAGAACGTCACTCTCTTTCAATCAACCAATCAGCATGTCCTTTACAGAACGTCACTCTCTTTCAATCAACCAATCAGCATATCCTTTACAGAACGTCACTCTCTTCACAGAACACCCGCAAGTCTCACCTTCTTTAGCCAGTTCTATAGCCCTATGTGCTTTCATAACCAGAGCTGGATTATCTTCAGTATCCTTATTCACCTTTGCAGAGGTTGCTCTCTGCCTTGTTGTCAGGAAACTGCACCTTCCATCACCGTTGTCGCAAGACCACTAAGGCGCTTGACATATTCAAATGATCCCAACAAGATGTTGTTTGTCATCCAGTTCTCCTTGAAGTTCAGGTCAGGCACATGACGACATTTTCTTCTTCTTAGTCCACGCTATTCTGGTCATTAGTCTGTATCACTTCAGCTCAATAGCTCCGATTTTCTTCTTCAAAGACTGAATGGGTGTCCATGGCTAACATCCATAAGTTGCCACGGGAAATCTAAAATAGTTTTACTTAAACTTGCTTGCAGATAGATGCTATGCCATAATTTTAAGTTATTTAATCTTCTTCTTCTTCTTCGTTCACCGGCTGTGAATTCCGGCGGAAGGTCCCGGTTAATCATCCGCTTGGACTTTTGGCTTTTACCTGGACCTGAGTTTTGCGTGTACAACCGTTTTGTTGTTCCCTGCCTCATGGGCAGCTGTACTCCGACTTCGAAGGAAGACGTCAGGCCTATTTCTAGGATGACTGTGGCCATTGTTTTGTGTGGGTCGAGACGTTGCCTGATTTGTGTAGTGTCCACTTTGTCGCCTTCTCCACAGGTGTTGCCCCCGGAGTACCCCTTTGGGGCAGCCCCTTGTGGAACGGTTAACCCTCAAGGGAAGGCAGGGGCAGATCATGGGCATTCCCCGCCATTCAAGAGCCGGCACATGGCGCACTGGTTCTGGGCTCACCCAAGGAATCGTCACGTCCTGCACATGCCTGCTTAACCTCACAACCGTATTAGGCCTCCCGCTCGACAAGGGCTGCGCCCTCCGGAAATCAGCGGGGAGCAGCCAGCGGGTTCTGGACTTTTGTGACCACACGAATAGGTACATTCTTTTTCTTCGCACGTTACATATCTTTGACGAGCCGTTAGCACGACAAAATTTAACATCCTGCGTCAGGCATATCGTTATCTGTTTGATCCAACACTCGGGCGAGTGGGGTCTTTGGGTGTGGATCTTTGGACTTTTTCCCATTCAATACGATTTGTGATGGTCAGATTTTGAGCTTACACGTGTGCCGTAGGATCTAGTTTTGTCGGACATTTAGGCTTAGCCAGTGTGACAATACGCGCGGTGACTTCAGAATGTCTTTCCTCAACCTACTTTTATTTGTGTGTATTTTGAAGTATACAGACAAATAGGGATTTGGATACATCCTTAATCTAAATAGGATGACCACATCACACCTTTAATTCTCCTGGACCGTTGGTCATATCAAACACTACAACTTTTCCCCAGATGTTAAGTGTTAAGGTACAGAGATAAGACTGACCAAGCAGACTTACTGACTGGAGATTTGCACACCATTTGTTGGTGTCAGATAGTTATTCCCCCTGCCAGATCTTCAGGAACAGATAACAAGGGCTAATTGGCATTATCTCCCCCTGAGGTTACCTAATCTGGAGTGCCGGTCAGATCGTCAATATTGACACAGTGAGCGGAAAGTGTTAACAGAAGAATTGACACCGTCTGATTTTATTGTGATGGCAGGTGAAGTAGACTAGAGGTGTGACTTGTCTTATTTGCTCTGGTCAGATGAATTGACCTACTAGCCTAAACAAGTTCATTTTATTTTAGTCAGATTTATTAAATAAATCATGTGTGATGAGTTTCATGATAGTTGAGTAAATTGTGTACTTAGGTTCAAGTGTCTTTGTGCATATTAGTTTACTTCAGCTAACAAATATTTAAATCACTTGATGGGGGCTTTTAAGTAATGCCAGGAAAGGAGACCAGTCGCAGGGGTTAACTGAGCACCTGGATTATATCACAGTGGGTGTATCCAGAAATCTATCTATCCCTTCTCCTTCTCCTGTGGATACAAGTACAGCAACTTTCATTTCATGGAACGAGCCACTCGCTGTTTTCTTGGCTATCCAGGACTGTCCTAGGATCAACATAGCTTAGATAATAGTCCAGTTTCTCACGTGGGTGGGCATTGTTAAGATCAAACCCACACCCTCACTATATCAGTGTATTTACCCACGTGGGCGCGCGACAATTGGGGATCTCGTCTCGGGGGTTTATAACATCATGTAACCGTTGTGTCGCTCTCTAGAATTAAAACCTGACACAAGTGGCGTCCCCGCCAGCGATCAAACCCGGCAGACCCTAGACTAATGAACAAAATTTTTAATTTCATAGATTTCATTTTAACTCTTCGTCCAGTTCTTAGACTAAAATCATACTTAGTAATTGGTAACTGGAAAGATTAGAATTATAATAACTGTAAAAGTATTTAATTGATGAAATCATATGAGTTAACTGTCTATCATTGAACATTTCATGAACATTGATCAATGTGTAATCTATAGTGCTTAGTTAGAGTTGATGAATTGATTTTTTTTGCTTGCATATTTCATTTGATATAGATTGTAGAACATATTACATTCTGACATCATATCATTGAGATTAATAATTAGTGACTGAGTGTAACATCGCTTTGATCATTTATAGGTTTATCCTTTTGCTGCTATAGGCTGTTATTCTGGTAAGCTGCTTTGCATCATATACATCTTTGTGCGGCTGTCATAGTCTACTCTGGTGCCCAGTTCACTGTACTTGGCTCTGACATATCCTTCTTATCCTACCTCGGGGAAGTATTACATTTATCTCTAGATAGAATGGACTTACGTACCGAGTACCAAAAAGATGTAAGGAAATTCGGGATAGTTGAGGGTAGAGTAGGAGCACAGTTAGAAACATATATTAAATGCCAGATGGATACTTTTGATTATATGGTAGCCCGTAATGCTGCAGAGAAAAAGCGCCAGTTGGAGATAGAAGAATATAATAGGCAGGAACAGCTTAGGAAAGAAGAGTATGAAAGAGAGGAACAGCTAAGGAAAGTAGAGTATGAAAGAGACATACAGCTTATAAGAGAAGAATTAGAAAGAGAGATAGAGTGTATTCAGGAAGGATTTGCTGAAAGGATGCGGCGTAAGAGTGAAGAAATTCATCGGAAACTGCTACTTGAGAGAGCAGAAAAAGATAGGATAAAACAGCAAGCGGAAAACATTAGCGTTGAGGAAACTGCGAGTATATGCGAGGAAAAACCTTTACCTCAGGCTGAAACTCAAGCAGATATGGTGGGGGCCCACTATCTAACCATTAAGGTGAGCACTCCTTGGCCAACCCCAACAGCTAAGGAAGAAAACATAAAAACCGAAGGACAGTATCTCACACCTCTTATTCCTACAGAGAGAAGAGGCAACAAGAAGAACTCTTCTTTAGGGATAACCAGATCTACATTGCTGGACCCCTTAACTTCCATTCTTAAGCCTAAAAGGAAAAGATGGAACAAGAAGCAGAAATCTTCTAAAGGGACCAGATCTACATTGCTGGAACCCCTTACTCCCATTACCTCAGACGAGATAAATGAGAGTGAACCTGACAGTAGTGACAAGCGTGATACGGTTGTAACCGTAGACATAGCGGTTCGACTGTCACACCAGACATTAATGAGGACGAGGGCAAAGACTTACCCCACTCCTATATCCCCTTTGGTCCCTTCATGCAAGAAGAGGAATTAAAGCAGACTGATGTAGGGAATAACGCTGAACCTGTGTCCCCTATTTCCTTGGATGCGGCCGCATGCCTAATGGAATGTGTTAGTTCTGACTTTACACCCAAAGGAGTTGACTGCGATGGCGGCAACACACCTCCTGATTTGCTTTCACTGGACTGTGCATATGAAAGCCAGACCAAGGTGAGAATAGCAGATGAGGAGGAGAGTTCTCTGGACGTCTTGACAATCTTAGAGACCCGACATAAACAGGACAATTCTGCTAGGCCTGTGCACGTCGATAATGGACAGACAGAAGTGTTTGCCATTATCGAAGAAGAAAATACTTTTCGTGAGCAGGGAGACAACTTGTCTCTGCTGCCCTGTACAGCTGGGGCGACAGGGATACTTCTGATGAAGGACCCTGAAGCAGAACAAGCCATGAATAGTAGGGAACCCCAACATTCTGGTCTTGTAGTACTCTTTGCTTCGAAGGAAGTGACAGGGGTATCTCAGCTGGTGGTGGAAACTTCATTGCGAAGAAATCCCACCTTACAGTCTACAGGAAACCCTGAGTTTTTTACTGATTTGACTGTATACCCTGACTTGATTTCGTGCTCTGACTCTGGACTAATCTTTGTTAAAGACAATTCCACCCTGACAATTTGGCAAGGTAAAGACAGAATGCACCGAAGAGGCAACAAATGGACACTCTTCAGAGAAATTGTTAGTGGTAAGTGGCACTCACTTCGTGAGATCACGATGAGTGAAGATATCCCTCGTTTTAAGTGGAGATTTGTGACAGATTATTTCAAGATCTGTAGACGGAGGAAAAGAGGATCCAACCTGACTGCAACTAATCCTTTTAGTAGAACACTTTAGGCTCTCCCTATGCAGATAGGGCGCGGCGAAGTGAGGAAACGCACAGAGGTTGTCAGTCAACGGCGCAGAGGAGTCCCGTTGACAAAGCGTGGATCTTTGATTATC